TAGGCAAAGAATTTTATATTAACAACTACCTAAAAAGAAGTTTTTATAACAACAAGAGGAGAAAATATAATTTATGAGAAATAATATTATTCATATATTATAAATAGCAGGAATTGATTGGATCGCATTTCAATGTCTAAAGTATTTTGTCAAAGTCTAATTCCAAACCAATCAAATAAAAGGCAGATGTTGCCAAATAATTGAAGATGTTGCCTTTAGTCATTCTTTCCTTTTCGAACCCTTCCATGTTAAGGATGGGAAGTTTCATCCTACTTAATGACAACCTCGTCTTTGATTTGATTTTTCAGTTAAATATTTTTTATTTCTATTATATTAGAAATTTGAATATTATTGTTCACTGAATTAGTCTAGAATTAAAGTAAAGTGACTAAAATAATGATAGTTGATTGGATTCAAACGAAAAAGCCAATCTTTGAAACATTGGCTCGATCCATAATTTTTATAAAACCATCGCCGAGTTCCTCATATCATATGAACTCTAGAAAATAAGTGGCTCTATTTTTTTTAAAAAAATCATGGAATGAAAATAATTTCAAACATTAATTTATTTTTAAAAATGAAATTAAAATATAAAATTTAGTGTGATAAGATTAAAAATAAAAAATATTGATGTATTCTTGTAAAACATCATGGTACTAATTAGGAGCATTAAGATATAAATATTTTTTATGATCGATGTATAAAATATTTATGGATCTGACACATTGCTATCTTTCTGCTTGTGAAGGTGTTTAGTGGAAGAGTCAAGGGTCTTGGATTCAAAAGTAGTAATCCATTTTTTAATTCTTAATAAAATAAGATGATAAATTAATCTCAAACGTATGTGGTCTAATTGAATCATTGTGATATATATGTCCCTTGTTTTAGGGCCTCCTACTTTTTAAAAATTAAAGTTTCACTATTTACCTTTATCATCACGTGATTTGGACAAGTACAAAAATTTTTGTATATATTACTTAAATATATTGCTATAAGGCTATGGTTGAAATTAAGTTGAAATTAAACATGGTTAAAAATACCTTATACTACCTAATGTCCTTAATATAAGATCTTGTTTGACTTTTGTTTTAGTCCTAAATATAAGATTCTAATCTATTTTGTTTATCATATTTATGTATTTTTTTCAAGACAGTACTTCTAACAATAATAGTTTTAGCCAATACACTTGATTAGTAAAGATATTTTAAGAAAGACAACATTTATTTATTACAAATAACTAACTTAACTTCTTTTTTTAATCTTCTCAAATTAATCAACTAGTTCTTATAAATAATACTGGAGGTAGTAATAAGAATAAAAAGCAGACTAAACTCTAAGTTGTTAAAAAGGTTTGGATTAATAAGAGTGGAACTGGCTCCAACAAGACGGTGGTATTGTGGGGCGGTTCGGTTTTAGGCACTCACTTTGATAAATGGGGTCTAAGATTCTTAATTCCTTTTGACTGAAGTGGCTCTGGGATATTCAAGTATATGTTAGGAATATATTACAAATAATGAGTTCTTTTTTTTTCATGTTTGTGATGCGTGAAATAATAGATAATAACTTGTAACATTAAATAGGAAAAGTTAGTAAAAAATTCCTATTTGAAATTTTAATTTGCCAGAAGGATCTGAAATTGTGCAAGTACAAGTATGATCCGTGAATGCAACATATCATCCGCTGTGGCCAATTAAAATTTCAAATAAGGATTTTTTACCAATTTTTCCTATTAAATATCAGTCTTATAAAAGCTATCATTTTCTTTTTTGGCAGCACATAAAAACTATTCTCTTCATAGCTTTTTTTTTTTGCTTGAAAATTCTCTTCATAGCTTTTTAATACATAAGCTATAAATATACGACTCATTTTTTAGAATTTATACATAAAAGACTTGCATCTAATTAGTATAATTTGTTCATATTTATAACAAATATTTGAAAGTCTGTTATATAAATAAAATAACATAATCATAAGCTTCATTCTTAAGTTCTCAGATTGAGTAAACCATGGAGGGTTATCTTAACTGGTTAGGATTGTTCCAACTTCATAAGTCTCATTCTTTAGGCATCTAACAGAGGCAGGGATGTCAACCTCAAAAGTTCTTATCATGTCTTGATCCGATTGTAATTCCATAAGGGTTGGTCAAACACCGGATGGATAAGAAAAGAAAAAGGTTTTACATTGAATAGTGATCTTATCTTTCAGTGAGATTTCACCATTTGAGAATTATATGTTTGAAGAGTGAAAACCATGGTCAACTGCTTCAACCAGTTATGCAATTATAAATAAAAGTTCAAATATGAAGCTTATAGGTGACAAATTAACAGCATTAATATAATTTTACTAATGCATGCTTTCAGGGATAAATTTTTCTAGTATTTTTGCAATGCACAGGAGAGAGAAGACATGGATGAAATTGTTGGACAAAATTAAGGTTTGATTAATTAGAGATGATCACTTTCTTAACTGCCCCCTTTGAAAATGATGAAGCAAACAAGAATTCCCAACGTAATGATTGATCTTGTTTCGCAAAAAACAAGGAATTCACATGTGCTTATTGCGCACACAGCTAGTGAACTGGAGCTAGTGACAAGCCAAAAATATAGTATCTTTAAATTCAAATGTTTTGAGACAACCTAGAAGTGTGTCTATAAATATATATATATATATATGAATATATATATATATATATATATCAGACAAACTTTGCAGGTGTTTTGTTTTCCATTGCTTCTTCTGGTTTTTGTAACCAGTTTGCTTCCAGTTTTATCATGTTTCTTACTCCTCATGTTTTATTTATAGGACAGAGAAAAATATTTTTTTATCCTATTTATAGAACATTTTATTAAATTTTTAACGTGAACATACTGTTTTGTCCTTCATTTATTATAGTGTAGATAATTATCTTTTTTGAAATATGTATATATTAAATAGGAATAAAGTTGAAAAGTTGTTATATTTTAATGGAGAGTTAATACATTTTAATGTTTTTCTTAATTTGCATGAAATATACTGAAAGTGCCTTATAAATAAAATCAGAAGAGTATATAATTAAACATTCAAGTTCCAAAGCTTATGCTTCCAGTTTTATCATGTTTCAGATTGGGGATTAGCTAAGAATTCTAGATTAATCAAAAGGAATAATGAAGATCTATGTTTTGAGACACTTCTCAAGTGAGTTTTCAACATGAAACTTATGCAATACTTCACCTGGTGATATTTATTTAACTTTTTTTTTTCCAAAAATCTTTATCAATTAGAACCATACGTGGATAGTCCTATTCGTAACATCACCCTTTCAATAGAAAGTGTTAATGTTATGAATATAAGTGCAAACTGAGATATCATCTCGAGAAAATAGTTCATTAAGTGAAAAAATTTTAAACTTATAAGCTCTAATTCTTAGATCAAACTCTTTGATATACAAAATTCATACCTAACTATGAAATAAGTGGTGCCAATTTTTTCTTTTTTTAAATCACTTTATACATATTTATTTCGTATAGTACAAAATCATTTAAAATAAGTTACAAACAGCTTATTAGCTTATTTGATGGTTGGACATTGTTCCATTTTTACTGTTCTATCCATTTGATTACCACACCACCACATCAGCAGATCATGATATATATATATATATATATATTTTGGGGGGAAAGTAAATGATACGGTCAACCTGAGTGTTATATTTTAAACTATTTTTCAATAATTGCTTTGTCTGAGTGGAGAAACCCATGAATAGAGTTTAACAAATCAAGTTTCAGGTAGTTTGTCAATGGACTTTGTCGTTTACACGTGACCCGATATGCACAAAGATTCAATCTTTGTAATAATTAGCCACTGTCACTTGTAAATTATTCATGGCGGTCCTATTAGCATTTCCTCTTATTAAATTAAATAATTAATCTCTCCTTGTACTCTTTACTATATCAAGAAAATTAAACACTCTTTTGATCTTCATTGGAAGTAGAGAGAATATTAGGAAGAGTCGTATAAATCCATGTAAAGACCTATGGTTTGAATCCTCCTAACATGGCTTGCAAGTAATATAATGAAAAGAATCTTTTATTTTTGATGAGGCATATGTAGAAATTATGTTATGTTATTATTTAAGTTCTAGTTAAATAAAATTGAGGACTCGAACTTTGTTAATAGGAAAAAAATGAATGTTAAGAGAAATGTTCAAACTTGACCACTTAGGCCTAAATCAACAATTTTAAATGATGAACAGTTATATAAAAATGCATACTTTTCTTGTTTTATTTATAAGATGGAGATAATTTTCTTTTTATTTATAACGCACATCATTAAACTTTTTATATGAATATACAATTTTATCTTTTTATAAAAAGAGCAGAAGAAGATTGAGAAGTATGTTCAATGAGATCATTGAATGGATTAGCTAACAACCTATCTAAATATTTAATTATTAATAGAGTGCAATAACATCATGTGATTCATATAGCTAATCCCATTTAGTAGAATAAGATTTGCTGTTGTATACAATTATACCTTTCATTTATGATTACGTAAGCTATGCTCTTCTATTAAGTTATTTCTGCTAACAACGGTGATGTGAAGCAGTAGACTTTGTATAAAGTGTATTAAATATGGATATGGTTAAAAATTGATTAAATACGAAGACAAAATTTATAAGATTTAAGATTTTTCTTTATTTTGATGAAACATTTTGGAAGTTATTTATAAATATGATTGGAAGAGTGTTACATGTTTTTGTCAATTTATTGAGAAGGAAGAAATTAGAAAGATACAAATCCCAAAAAAGTAGGTGGAAAACAGAAGAATGGTCTCCCAAGAAAGACATGCGCAAAAAAATGTACTTAACACACTCTTTATAAAGGCTTTCCATAGCTTCACCTTTCTCCCATACTCATCCCTTCACTGCTACTCACTTCTGCACTCCCTTTCTCTTGCAGATTTCAACTCTCCCTTACATTATCTTGCCCATCTCATCTTTTTTCTCTGCCATTTTTGCAGCCATGCCAAGCTCCAGAGCCTCAGAGAACAAAACCCAGATGGGTTTGTGTCTTCTTCAAACCAACCCATCTTCTTCTAGTGAGAGAAGAGGGCGAAAAAAGCAAGGAGAAGCAGGAAGATTTCTGGGGGTGAGAAGACGACCTTGGGGAAGATATGCTGCAGAAATTAGAGACCCCGCAACTAAAGAAAGGCACTGGCTTGGGACTTTTGATACTGCTCAAGAAGCTGCTTTAGCTTATGACAGAGCTGCTTTGTCCATGAAAGGATGCCAAGCAAGAACCAACTTCGTATACACTACTGACAATACAACCTTTGACAATACTCTTCTTTGTCCCTTTGATGTTCAGCTTCAGTCACTCTTTAACACTACTCAGATGAAACAGTCAATCAACCAGAACAGGCCACCTCAGCTTTCTGAGACTTCCCAGATTGAGACTACTGCTGCATGTGATTCTTCTTCAGCTCAGGAGGCTGATAGCTTACTCTTCTTCTCCAATGGTGATTCTAAGTCAGGTTACTTGGAATGCATAGTTCCTGATGTCTGTTTCAGACCACCACCATCTTCTTCTAATGATAGCAACAGTTCAAACTCCATAAAGAACAATGGTGCCTTAATTCCCTGTGCCGATGCAAATGACCAAAAGATATCTCAAGAAGCTGTGAAGAACATGGCTTCAAGCTATGGAAATTTCACCTATCCAAATGAACTCGGGCAAGAAACATTCTGGGACTGGAGCTGCAGTGAACTTGCTGCTATATTTAACAGTCCATTAAAGGTTGAAGACACAGACACTTCAAGCTGCGGGATAATCTCTCAGGCTGCTGCAACTGCTCCATCAACCACTTATGCTCCATCACTTCCTTCATTTGATGTTGATTTGGCATACACACTCTTCTGATCAGCTCTGGTTGATCTTTTTATGTTGGAATAAATTAAAACCCTGGTTTGGCCAATATGATCTCAAGTTGTCAGTTGTATCAGTTTACTACTTGGAAGTTAATTAGATATATCAGCTCTTCTAAGGGTCATATAGTATCAAATCTAAGTTGGAACCACAAGATCAAACTTTCAAGTGTAAAATGATATGCAAAAAATGGATCTTTGAAAGATTCAAGGGATACATTGGAACAAGATGAATATGGAAGTTTTACTGCCATACTTCAACCTAGTTGGGCCATTGGCTTTACCAGTTTGTGTACTTGCATGCACTTGAACCTTTTTGGTTGTAATATGGGATGGTCTAAGTCTAACCCTAGCATGCCTTTTTTATTCGTTTAATGTAATTACTTCACTGGAAGTTTAGAAAAAAGTTTGAAAAAGTTTGCACTCTCAAATCAAGGGCAAGTCATTACTCAATTGTGTGTCATACCCTCACATACATTAATTAAATATTTTAAATTATTGAGTGATAGCATGATAGAAAAATAATAGATCCTTCTTTTCGGCTGCTTGTCTTCACTTTTGGATACAATAAAGGCACAAGCACAGCATGTATTGGCTCACACCAGGTTTCTGTCCGCAATAAACAAAATAGGCATTAATTTTATTTATTTTAGAATAAGATTAATACAATAAAATTTATTTTTTAAAAAGTGCAAATATGCAAGAAATCTTTCGAAATGAACCAACTAACTGCATATGTAGTTGTATGGTGTTAAATAATGAATAGAGCAAGAAGATGATGATGATGTTTTGTATGTGCATGACTTGTATTTGCGAAATAACCATCCAGGAGACAGTATTTCCTCTACTTTCCTTTTCTTTTACTTAAAATGTTTCACTCCTGATCTGAACTATTTGATTAAATTTCAAAAATTTACCCTTAATACTAAATTACTAAAACTTGATTCGAATATTTCAAAACTATACTGAATAGTTCGTTATTAAAATATTTCTCTTTTTTTTAAATTTTTTCTATTGTAGATGTAAATTGTTTAGCTTGAAATGAGCTGCACTATTGTTATTAAAAATAAAATCATGTTATCCAATTCCACAGAACATATTGTGTGTTTATGAAGGTATATAAACCGTTAAACGGGAAAAATGGAGAGAGAGGGAAGGGGAAAGTAAGATGAATGCCCATGCCTAGTATGGACTATGGAAGGAAACAGGATGTGTGAGGACCCACCTGTGAGCAGTACGATCGAGAAGATGAAAACGAGGCAAGGGCGGAGGTGATAGGTTATGCAGGGAGCAAGTAAAGTAGAGTAGAGAAAGGCCACACTTTTTTGTGAACAGTGAAATAGAATCTGCAGAGTGCAGCTCTGCAGATCTTCATACCCAGGTTGTAACAGTATAACATCGTAGTGGTTGGAATTAGAAGCAACATATCACATCCCCAAGATTCAACCGACAAACATCCTGTGACCTTTTAGATCTGTTAATTTTAACATACAGGACTGAATTACACTGAATCAGACTTCAAAAATTAAGTTACAGTCAAATCAAAACTATAAGGATTGAGTTACATCTAGTCAAAGGTATAATGATTGAGTTACAAATGTATCAAATTTATAGGGACCAAAAGATTAATTTTTCCTAAAAAATCTAAGTTGGCCTAAGATGCATTAAGATTGTAATCGTGATTTAATTCCAGAAATGAAACGTACTGTAGCCTCAGATTTATGGATGATATTAATGGGAAGACCTGGCTGGTTGAACGACATTATCAGGCAAATTTAACAATATATAGGAGCGTATTAGCTTGCCGGCTCGAACTGCACATAGTCCTTAAGAACTTAGGAGGGAACACTCAGACCCCGAGAAAGCACTCACAAAACATCATTAAAATGAAACATCACCAGAGAACAAAACAGCATAGTAATACTACTTCTAGGATATAAATGAATGTTATGAATAATGATTGGCTTAAGTAGAAATGATTCAAGTGAATTTAAGAGCTCGGACTTTATACATGAAAAAAAATCACATTAAGAAAGCTATTTCTTATGGGACTCGGCAATGCTTTAATCACAAAGTAATGTTACATCTCAATCCTGTCTCTATTATGATGACTTCTTGTGAAACTTCATCTTTAAGGAACACTCTAGCTTCGCCAAGTCATTTACTCCAGCAGTCAGGAAATGAATGAGTGGCAGTGATTTATTTCAGTACATGTCAGAGGCTTCAACATACAATTTATTTCAGTGTATGTCAGACTTCGACATACAATATCTAGTCATAAGATTAAATCATCAATTACAGCTCCGTTGGTCCTATGACTGTATAAAACCAATTTAACCTCACAAGTGAGATGTACAATAGTATCTTAATCGTTTTCATATAATTTTTTGTCACTTAAGTTTGTCTTCGCTTGTGAGCTGTTGATAAAGAACTCAGCTTCCTTCTGAACAGTAGATATTTGAAATTGTGGTTGCGCCAAGAGCCAAGCTGCATCAAAAGGACAGACAGCCCATGAAGCCTAGCTTCTTAAGTCAGTTCTGCCACGAACTCATTATCTTCCATAGCTTCATTGCCTCTCTACACAAACTGCTGATTACAGTCAAATGAACATACTTCAATGATACCTACTCCACGGATTAAGATTTCATAAAGACCTAAATTAGCAGCAACTACCAACTAGAAACATTACATGACTTTATCTCTTGAGAAAAAGTTGACCAAACTGAGGTAAAATTTCTCAAGTTTTTGCTATTAGGTTCTTTATAAACACGGGACACGTGGAGAAAATTTTTTAGAATACCCCATCACGTGATATCAGGCCATGAAAAACATAAAAACACCTTGTTTTTACTAAACTGCTAGCACCCAAATGCACACTTGAGTTCTGTCCAAAAAAGAAAAAAAGTGGCATTGATGACATGCCAAGTGTGTAACTTAATATGGGGAACAGAAGATAAGAAAAGGTTGCCATACGTCAATTTGCCTTTTACTTGCTCAATCTATATAAATATATACATATATAACATAAATTGTGTATGAAGACATGTGATGCATTTCAATTGCAAAAGTGCTATGAATTGAGATATTTGATTTGTATTAGGCTATGAGTTTTGTTGTATTGCGGCATAATATTTGTTTTTTTTTTTAATTTTTTAAATTAGTGGTCTAACTAAATGATTTTGTTTTAAATCTTTTCATGCCACACATGGGATGGAATTTTGGTTACGTATCAATGTAGCAGGAAAAAAAAAAAAATACTATACTCTCAATAATATGAGAAACCAGGGAAACCAGTATCCTAAATTACAGTATAACCAAGTTGCATAACGATATACAAGAACAATGATGAGATAATGGTTATCCATACCTCCTTTAAAATTGCAGTACACATATTCAAGCAGCATCCAGATAGAGCAGAACTACTTCCATTCGGCCCATTTAGCTGAGTCTGTGGATCTCCTCTTCATTCTGGACGCACTGGACTTGTCATTAGAATCATGCCAAACCATCTCAATCTGCTAGATAGCATACAGAATCATATGGTCATTGCGACGCAATATACAAAATCTTCCCCAAGGGCTAACCAAAATTTTTAACTGCAATTATATTTTTTAAAAAACTAAACGGCAACATTTTGTTGCTTTGGATATGTTCTTTCCAAATTAATTATGAGAACGAAAAATGGCAGCGGTTGGAACTGGTATTTCTTTTAAGAAATCTGTGAATAAATTGAAAGCAAGTCATGATGATTAAATTCAATCAGTACAATAGCTATATGTTGATGTATTTGATGATTGTGCTAATAAGGATTACAATACAGAAAAGAGGATAAGAAACAAAGGATTACAATACAGAAAAGAGAATAAGAAACAAAGGACACACCTCTCCAACAATTACCGTGTCACCTTCCTTTACACCTTGTTTCATGAGAGACTTGTACGCACCACAAGCATCAAGGACATGTTGAAATCTTCTCTCTGAATCAATATACCTACCAAACAGTCATGACAATTATCACAAGGTTTGCCATGAACAGTTACTGCAATTTCAGGCACATTACGATTCGTAATAAATGTCTGTCTAAGCACATCTTTAGTACCAAAATATCAACTATGAGAGAGTAGGCGGAATTTCCTTTCTTCATATTGTCTCAACTCACAATATTAAATGTGCATGTGCGTGCGCACACATTCAATCAATGTTTACCAAGCAGACAAAAACATTTACATATCTTATGTGTCATTTCAAGTTAAATGCACTCTTTTGTTTTTCGGCGAATTGTTAAATGCACTCTACATAAGAGCAACTATCAACTTAGTTAATATTTTCCTCATTTGTTTTCGGACATAGCTAGGGTCTAACATTTTCTATATGCGCTCTGCAAAATGGAGTTTGGTCACCGGAGACAAGATATTTCTGGCAAAACTACGACTACAATAATAACGATCACCATCATCATAAAAAAAAAAAAACAATTTTTAAAGGCAAAAAAGGGATATAAACAAAGAACGTATAGTTAAGATTCAATGCACATGAAAAATAACATTATATCCACTTAATGGATTAAATTTCCTTACAGAGAATAGCAAGTGTGGGAAATGATGATCCTCTACAGAAAATGCTAGCTTATCCTCACATCTTCATAACACAGATCATATGATTCTGAGTCTTCCAGTCTACGGCCAATACTTGAAAACTTCAAAAATCCATGCAAGAAGCTCAAGGCAAGGATGGGGTAATAATGTCTCAGCTTAATCACATTTCATATGGTTCTGAGAGCAAGTATATAATAAATGTGGACACATTTTCTACACGTCATTATGTTAAATAAGATTAGGAGTCAGACCCTTAACAATCATATGATGTTTAAGATGTCCTAGACATTGGATAATGAAGGGTAGTCATGATAGCAAATTGCATGCTGTTCACATGGAATACTCTTTAACCCACCTCCAATTGTCATCTGAGAAAAACGTTGCAATCCAGATCCAACTA